TTTCTCCGAATTCGTCAGTCTGAGCGCCTGCTCGGCTAGGATTCAGCCCTGGCTTTGACGAGGTCCCGCTGGAGCCACACAAGTTCAGGGCCACCAAACCCCAGCCGCTGACTCTGATTCAAGAAGTCCCGAAGCTCCGACGGGTCGAATCCCATCCTGCCGGAGCTCACAGGGCGACTTACTAGACTCTTAGACTCTCTGCTCTATCCGCTCTTTGACAGAGGGGGGCCCGGGCCTCAGCATGTATGGAAGGTGCTCGCGTGCAAAGTGGCCCCAGACCTCCAGAACTTTGAGCCAAACCTCTTCCAGAGAGGTCGCGTGCAAAGTGGCCGGCTCCGAGGGTCTGCGGCGCATTTCTGCGGCATCCAAGTGAATCCAAGCTTGCACTTCGCTACACAGCCCAGACATCACTCTTGTGGCTTTCGTTCCCTTCATCTCACACCTGCACATGGAAGTCTTCTCTGCCATTGCTACGAGGTCTGCCACCAACTGCAGGTGGTGTTTCAAGTATCTGGCGGTCTCCAGAACATCACGGACCTTTCTTTCACGGCTCACTGGGTAGAACTGGTGGTGCACACTTTGCCTAAGCGACGAAGCATTGCGAATCCAAGGTGACGAACGGTGGAGAAACTTGCGGAAGACATGCCCATCAAGCTCATAGACAGCCAAGATGGGCGGCCGACTTGATTCGGAAGCCGAAATCAATGCCCAGCCTGCTACGAAGTCCTGGGCGAGCCGGGAATACACCTCTGCCGGCACCCAACCCGTCTCCGCCAATGGCGAGGGAAGATTCTGCTGCGACACTTCCCATGGCATACCCGAAGCGGAACGCCAAAGCCAGGCTTGTAGCACCCAAGCGAAAAAACAGAGGTTCTGGAGCCAAAAAGCTTTGGAAATAGGCGCGCCTGATGGTGGAATTCCTCACCGCTGACGGTCACAAGCTGGGGCGCAAGCACAAGAAGGAGGCCGACAGTAACAGCAATGGAAAGGCCAAGAAAGATCGGGGTGTTCTGGCGCGAGAGAACGAGTAAACATGAAAAGTCTACGCGCTGGTCTGAACTGTCTTCAGATCAGGTCATATAGCTCCATGCGTACCATCGCTTTGTCGATACCGTCCATAAACCTATCTAAAGGACACGGAGCAAAAGAGCCGGGGATGCGTCTGACAGGGTCTCCTGCAATCAAGGACGTCACAAGTGGTCAAGGATCTGCGCCATGTCCCACTGTTCCTCCAGGCTCTGTGGCTCGGCGAAAGAGGGAGCAGCTCCGGATAGCCTGAGTCTTCTGAGACATTCTCGGCTCCACATGGCTCCTCCTCCGTACGTCCAGGGCCAGAGCGCTGCGGAGACAGCTGCGATGCTCACGACCTCATGTCGGCTCACAGGATCTCACAAGCCAGCAGCGGACCACTGAGAGCACCAAGGCCACGGCTTGAGTCCGAGAGGTCGGCGCCACAAAGTTCAACAGTCCTCGCAGGTTTCGTTGCTCCCGCACTTCTGCCATTCCGCCAAGCAACTTTCAATGCAATGGTTTTTCGCGCAGCCTCAACAATCACACATGTGTGTTTTGCAGCTGGGCAGGAACATGCAATTTACAACATCCTGGGCTGTAGGTTGAAGCATGCCCGAATGTCTGTCCTGTAGTTACATTGAGGCTGAAGCGCAAACACAGAACTAGGCCTCAGAAACGCGGGGGCCAACAACTAAATTGAAATCTTTGCATGCAGGGGCAGTTCAGCAACAACCCTGTCAAAGGCTCAAGCTGACAGCCGCCAACAGACGTGAGCCACGCACCATGGCAAACACAAAGGCAGCGCAGCTTGCTGTGATGAGTGAAGCGGCTTCGGCCGAGCAGCTGCACAAAGAATGCAGAAATGTCGGCACGTATGACTGGCAAACTCAAGCGTGCGGGTTGACCGTATCCCGACTCTCACGAAGACTGGGGCGCTGCATCGACCTCGTAGGCAAAAGCTATGAAACTCTATGGTGGTCGTGGCAGCAGGTGAGAATGACCAGATTGGATGCTAGCCGCACCTGGCCACGTATTGATGCGGCTTGGCAAGTGCCGTCGCTTCAGGCGAGATGGCAACACCGACTCAAGATTCCAAAAACAGCATCTTCAGCTTTAAAGTTGAAACACGTGCGCGCATCACTCACGTCACTCTAGCTCTGGACGACATGCAAAGTGCACTAAGCACGGAGCATGGCCGACTCGACGTGCTGGAAGCCCCCACAGCGGACTCCATAACCGGTGGTGGCCTGAAGCGGAGAGGGAAGGCGAGAAAGAAGGAAAGTTGCAGAGTGAATTCATGTGGGCCGCCGTGGGCATATTCTGCAAGTACCACGGTCTATCTTGCGACGAACAGCTCTGTTTTCTTTTCACGCTGATTCGACTGTGCAAGGCTTACGATCACAACTCAACCCTCCAAACGGACCGCAGTCTGCAAAGCAGGAGAGTTCGTCAAAAAGGGATGTATACCCCACTTTGCGAATCAGGATGCACGGCACTTCCCGGATCCCACCCCGCCTGTGCTAGCGGCATGGTTCCAGTGCCAAAATGCCTTCCACATGTGCAAAGCAGGTCGATGCATGTGCGGGCTGTCCTCAACCGAAAGGATCTCAGCCTGAACGACCCCAAACCCCCAACGGTCCAAATGGCACCCCTTGGCCTCGGCTCTTTTGGCGTTGTCGTCTCCAGAACTGGTCGAGGCAATCTTGAGTGCAGCGGAGTGCAAGTGCCTCCCTTTTTCATTCACCGATATCGAACGACTTCATGCTGCAGCACCTACTAGTACGTCTGACAAGATGCTTCAAGAACACGCAACCACCTTACAATATCGAACGATGGTATCTTTGCACTGTAAAGTGCAGGTGCACGCAACATCGCACCTGGCGAGCGCAGAACAGGCTCGCTGGTGACAATGGGCACACGCCTTCCCGGCATCCTGGCTGCAGACTTTGTGAAACTGGGTGCACACCACAAAATTGGCTGTCTTTCTGGAAAAAAACGAAGCCTTCTGCAATGGGAATAGACTTGAGGTGGTTCCAAGAGAAGTGACAGGAGAGCACGAAGAGCGTGGCTGGAAGTGCAAGCGCCTGGTCGCAGCAGAGGTGGCCGACGGAGGGGGCTCCTGTCGCTGCATTGCACTTGCTGATTCCCGTGTTCGCGGAGTCCGGCTTTCGATAAACTGCAACCAGGCACGGGCATGATGTTGCTTTTGGGCACGTTCGCCGGCAAGTATCAGTCATCGCGTGCTTTCAGCACAAGTGAAGATTTATCGCAGGTGACCCAAACACTGGTGTAGCCCAGGTCGCATCCAGACCTCCCTTACCAAAAGAAACATCGCCTCGCTGATGTAAGTTCATGTTTGTAAACTTTACTGCATCGCTGCGCATGGGTGACGAGATTGGCAAGGCCTGGTCACCTGATCTATGCGCTGACAAACCGAAGACTACGATGTGCAAGACTGTTGCAAGCATTTCCATTCAGGCTGCAACGTGCGTTGGAAAAGGTACTCGCACGCACACAACCAAGCTATCAACATGATCTGCATGTATCACATGGCGGGCATTGCTAGAGAAGCTGTCAACGCCGCAAGAGCCACAACCACATGCGCCTGAGTCCGCAGCAAGTCGAGGCTAACAGCGAAGGCATTTGTTAAATTGGCACAGAGCTAAGCAGGCTCAGAAACTTAACGTGTTATAGAATGCTCGATGAGTAATGCAGCTCAAGGAGAGGACACTTTGCAGCTGTGTCGTGGAGAGAGCAATCAAAGGCTACAGCCGCACCCATGCACGGAGGCACTCAGGCATGAAGTTGAATCACAACACGTCTGAGCCCTCTGGGGAATCGCACTGCAAGGGATGCATGGGACTGAGGCAGGCACCTACAATGACGGTTGTATAGATTGCAATCCTCCAAACAGGTTGTTGTGCTGCAACGTTCCAAGCACGTGGTCCAAGCCTTCACCGCCACCAGTGCCACTGCGAAGTTGATTCAGAAACGTGTTGACATCGAGCATCAATGAAGCCGCTTCCAACCCTCGGAGGCTCATCGAATCACAGGCCCCTAGCAACTCAGCCTCCGCCTGAGTTCCTTGCGCACAGGCGCAGTATCCATCATCCTGAACGTCGTTGCAGATTGCAAGGTCAGAATGACGGCACTTTCGGCAATAAGAGAACTCCGTGTCACAAGCGACTAAGTGCCAAAGTACTGAAGGAAGGAAATCTCACCACAGCTAGGATGCAAACAGCCGGTGAATATTGTCATCGTGGGCTGGGACCTTCGGGGTGGTCTTAGGTCCAGGTTCCTTGGCACATCGACTCAGTGGCTTTGGTGTGGCTGGATCTTTGGGCCACTGGCCCGATGAGGCCTAGCTATCATCGAAGCCTCTGTGTCTTCAAGTGTTTCTCGGTCTAGATTGCCTGACCGACCTCTCGAGCACCCTTAGCCGCTGATGCAGTTAGACTTGGAATCTGCGCTAGGTCCTCTCTTGCAAGAACTCCTTGCTGAATTGCTTGAATCTGTCACCACGCAGCAAAACCCAGTCCTCACAGGCCACATCCCCCAGTGATGTATTGCATGGGAGAGTCCTGGGCTCCGCAGTGAAACTGCGGTATTCATCAGGTGGCATGAGCAGGAACACACCGAAAAGCATGCAGCATGGGAAGGTAATATTGCACGGATCTGATCTGGAGCCAATTGATGCAGACTAATCGGTTCCACAAAATGGGACGCACTGGGAGCCTGGCTCGTTGCAGCGGCTGCCCCCCACATCTTTGACGACTTGGCAGCGGCCTCCGATGGCCTTGCCGGCTTCTTTTTTTGTGCAGTTGCAAAACCAGGAACGAAGGGCCCTAATCTAAGGCAATCACGCAGAAGCCAGTCTTGCAAACGCATTCGCCAGCCCTTGACAAGCATGCAGCAAACTTTGATACGTCCGACCCAAGCCATCCCAAGCCACATCACAGTGATTGGAGACCCAGGGCCCCGCTGGCAGTCTACAGCACCTCTCGATGATGCACAGCCCCAGAATCGACACCTGAAGGTCAGAAAAATCAGTCCTGCAAAGGCTCAGGATGCAGGTCTTGAGGCACACGCCCGCCGCCGGTCTTCTTGGCGCATGTTTGTTGATCCTTAATCATTGCGCATCATGGTCAAGTCCAGAGGGAGGAACGGCGACGAGGGGAAGTGTGAGACACAGAGAGAGAGTGAGAGAGCGATGGCAAAGGAGCAGAGCGATGAGGGAGGGGTTCCTGCGAGCTGTGAAATTCGGTGTGCGTGTCAGTGACTTAACCGGCAGGTCTTCGCCAAGAAGCCACGGGAATGCATTTTCCATCTCTCCCCCTCCAACCCTGAGCGCAGATACACCTGGCACGAGTGACTTTTCATCCAGCCAAGTTGTGTCTCGCTGTGTCCCGCGATGCAACACAAGGCCTCCCTCCCAGGCACTTGCTGGGCCCCACTTCCACCTGGTCACAGACGTGGTACCTCGGCTTTCGAAAGTATGGAGATTTTTCAAAATCACCATCTCTGGGATCAATGATGAGTCCTTCACTTGCAGTCTGTACCAGAATATGCTTCGGTCAGAAGGTTGTGCCCAAGGGGAGTAGACAGCTCGTCTCGCCAGTCTCAGCACAGCCAGGATCGTGTTGGCTGCACCCGAAGTCTCCAAAAAATATCGTCTAAGACCCAGTCCAAACGCCGACTTCCAATCCTGGGACACTCCAGCATGCGTCGTCTTGACCGGGAAATTCTGGCATGGCATTCCGATGCCTGGTGATCGGTCGCATCACTCTCTGCATCGCTGTTGCCCTCTTGCCTGACAAGGCAAATGCCGATGTGTTGCCCGCTTTGTCTCGTCAAAGGCTCTCTCAAGCCCGTGAGGCCGGAACACATCCACGGCAGCCGCAAATTGCAGAAACTGGAAAGCCTACCACAGGACTGCCCGAAGTATCCTCTCCTACTACGAGTGCCCGGCAACAGGGCTTGCCCCTGCATCTGGGACCGCTACGCATTTTTTGCCAGAGGAACACTCGGTATCCTCGCAAGCCACGAACCCAAGGACGCTTTCAGGAAAGTAACACTCCACGAAAATTAACTGCATGCGAGGCATGTGCAGGAAGCCTGCTGCAAAGCATCCCCCAAGCGTCTCTTCCTCCAGGATGCTCCAGTGACACAAGGCACCACGCCGTGCAGAGCCCAAGCTCCCGACTCGCTCTGGCCGACCTGCATACCCCACGTTTTTCCAACACCATTCGCTTCTGACCCGGGCCAAGCCTCGTAAGCGGGAGGGGATCCCAGCAAAACCTGGGCACGGCAGTGTTTTATCATCGGTGAGTTTCGACCTGGAAAAGCCCTTCCAGGCGTCCAGCGAGTGGCCAGAGCCCGAGCCAGCATCTCATGCGTGACGACATGTAGCGAAGCTCGAGTCCGCAATCGTCGTACTTCGCTTTTGTCGTTGTTGCTCAGGATGGAAATCTTTTCTACAGCTGAATTCAAGCATGGCTTGTGATCATGTGGAGCTAAACCATCAATGCGTGGGGCTTACATGGACTGCACCTGGATTGAACTGCTTCCGACAACACATGCGCCCCACATCGAACCTCGAACCCCGGAGCCAAAGTGGACTGCGCGCACGGGCAGTGATCCCTCTGGCAACGGTTTGAGTTCGCCGGAGAGGTCCTAGTCGAGGGCCCGCTACCAGACTAGCACAAGCCCCCCCCGAATGTCCGTCGACCGCTGTGCCGCCTCTGAGGATTCCATTTTGGAGCCGACCTGGCACTTTTGGTCAGAACATCTGCATCTCTCACTCAAGTCCATGCTTCTTAGAGGAGTTTCAGGAAAGACGGGATCTTCATGGGCTCCGCGCCGCTTGAGCTGGCAGCTTGGCATGTGTCTCCTGGCTCAGAGGATCGACCACCGGAGCCTCCCGCGAAATCCCTTGAAGGCCTCAGATGGATCCACATAGAGCCGGCTGCGCTTCGGCATGGCCGCCATCTGCACACCATGTGCCAAGCTCCCTGGGCCCCTTTGTAGTAACTAGAAGGTAAGCACCAGCCTTCTTGCGTTCCTCAGCCTGTCTCCGAAGCGCAGCATTGCGAATCGGCTCCATGGAGGACCTGAGGACTCGGAACTACTTAGCCGACTTAGCCACTGCTCCTACAAGTCTTGTGCCGATGTGATTCGATAGAGTATTCGGCTGGTCATGACGGCTGGTCTGTGCAGTCTTAGCAGCAGCACGTAAGAGCAAAAGCTTTGGATTAGGTATATCTTGACTGCCCTGCATGTCTATCTCTAGATTGTTACAGCATGCCAGAGGTCTTGCACATGCTCCTGCGATGTACCACAATGACAACTCAAACATTGCAGGAACAGCTCCGCAAGCACAGCTCTGAGTGAGGGCAGGGCGTCAGATCGAGAGGCTCCAAATCTTTGGGTCCAATTCTGACCTCGGCCCGAGTTGGCGTGCCGTAGCTGGCGCTCTTGTAGTTGGGGCGAACTCTAAGCGGGAAAGTTTGGATCCATGGGAAACCACTGGGCAAAACACTGGTCGGATGTTGTCGAAGAGCCGAGGCTGATTTCGAGCCTGACGGAAAGCGTACCAAGACCTCGGCCCCTCTCAGACCCTTCAGCCGGCCTGACCCCGCTCCAGCATATCAGTGGACCAGCGCTTCACCGTCTTGCTGCCCAGCTCGGTCTCAGCCGAATATGCGAGTCTCTGTGGTGACCTCTGCCGAATTTGCGAGTCTTGACCGTCTGGCCTGGCGGCCCAGGGTCATCTTGCCCGCGGCCAGCGCTTTGGCGGAGTCTGGCAAAGGCGCACGACTCGCGTCGCGTCGCGCCGCGTCGCTGCGGGGCCCGGCCGAAGCGCCTGGCATCGCTTCGTAAGTCTCCCTTTGTTCCTCTCCGAAGGGCAGCTCGGTGACTTTGAACGCAGGCTCGCTGTGGTTCCTGCTCTCTCTCGAAGCACGGTCACACAACCGCTTCGACGTGGCGCCTGCTCAGAGTCTGCGGTGGGCTACTCCCAATTCTGGCATCTTCGGCGTTGGACACCTGAGCTGAAGCTCAGAAGAGACTCGTTTGGCTTCGTGCACTGTACTCAGAACCAAGCCCAGAAGGGAATGTCGGGATGGTCAGAGTACTTCGGGTACCTGCACTTGCATAGGCATGGTCCCACCTGTGGCATGTGTCGTCTGCGTGCACGATCGTCACGAGCATTGGCAGGTTTCTGAACTTCAGTCTGGCAGGGCACTCTCGCGGAAAGCTCCGCGGAAAGCTGAAGTGATTCATTTCGTACTCAATCTGCCCAGGATCAGGCAACACGCATGATTTGCTTTGCTGAGCAGGCAGTCTGCACACACGCAGCCTTGTCCTTGAGTCTATTGTCCTGAGAATACATGGAGAAAGGATGACGTTGCAGAAGCCTCGCGTGAGCACACGCTTCCTTCAGTCTTGTAAGCGTCATCGGCTCTTCTTTCGGCCGTCGGAAGTTAAACTCCTCGACCTCGTTGCGTCTACACACTTTTCCAGAATAAATACCTAAAACTTCTGATGCACATACAGCCGCGCGCCTCCCTCTCCCCATTCCTGATGGAGAGGGGCACATAGTACTCGTCGCCATTCAGCCTCAACTCCTCGACAGAGCAGAGACACCGTGGGCCTCCAGCTTGCACGGTGGAGGCAAAGGGCTAAAGGCTAGGATAGGCTTCGAGTCGGTCATTTGCGGTCCTCGTTGTCCCGCTTCATGAGTTCTTTGCGAGTCTCCAACAACCTCGAAGCAACTCCCCCCTTTAAACGGTGTGATCACTCTCAGCAGAGCTCCAGATCCCGCTGAGGGCGATGCTGGCCTCGCGTGCGGAAGGTGGGATCCTCCACGCGCTGCATGCCAACCGTCCTGAAGGTTTCAGGGGTTTGGAGGTGGCAACACAGCACAGGCAAACAGGCAGGCAAACAGGCAGGCAAACAGGCATCTTCAACTACAACTTTGCTCTTTTGCACGTTCTGGAACCCCTGGAACCCGTCGGTCTTGCACTCGCGCTCCGGGTTCACCGGGTAGCTCATCGGCATGAGACCACCGCGGACTCGTGCCAACTGCCAAGCATGATGCTGCAGACGGTCACACTCAACCGCAGCATGCCTGGTGATCTCCTTCTGCACGCTCACGGATGTGTGCTATCGGGCCTCGGTCAGTGTCAGAAGTTGTCACATGTCCTCAGAGTTCGCCAACAATGAGAGGCTCGCAGTCTCGCGGATGTGTCTCATGATTCGGCGGCTGGCGCTCCAAAACCTCAAGTCAGCCACAAATCAAGCCTTCGTCTCCCGGCCCTTCTGTGACGAGTGCTCGGCTGGTTCACAGCGTGCTGCCCAGTTCTCGCCTGCAATGAGCCCGGCAGCCTTGACCTGCTGGGGCTTCCGAAAACCCAAGGGCAGATTTCGAAAGCTGCATCTGAGTGTGAGCCCTCATGTCAAGATCCTGTACAGTCCATGTCTTGGACATGAAGTGCTGAACACAAAAATTCGCAAACATAGCCATAACGAAGCGAACAAGGAACAAACTTGGAAGCATAGGAGATCTCGACGCGAAAGTATTTGCATGGTCAGCCTGTGACTTATGCGGCTAAATCTGAGTTGTGCGCCTCAGCCTTTCGGCTGTTGTTGAGTGCTGTCCTGCAGCTGTGCGAATCAAACATGGAGCCGAGGTGGCGAATGCGGCAGTCCTCGTGTGGTGCTCGGGCACGTGATGAGCATTGAAATGAGGCGGGTACCTTAAGCACTCCGACTGTCTGTGCAAGTAAAGAACCCCGAGCAGGCTCCCTTTAGATGGCTGGGATGTGCTGGCGTCTTCAACTAGTCCAACGTCAAGAACCGGATTCCTCGACGAGACGCGTGGAGACACTGGCTTCATTGGCACTGTCGGGACCGCAGATGACGCCGCGCTTCTGCTTGATCTCGGATTTACGGGCCGAGTGCAGGCAATCACTGACCGAACTTCAAACCGGACCGTGAACCGCATCCAAAGCTTCTGCATTCTTACAGTCTTGCTGTGCCCTTTCGGAACCTGCGCAGTGGGTCCATCAACGAGGCCCCAGCAGGGCCACACTTGTGAACCTGAGCAGAGGCGATGTAAAGACAATCTCAAGAATTCTTAGAAGCCGAGCCTGCCCAGTAGCGTCCAGTCCTCGTACATACTTGTCGAGGAAGCCATTCTCGAGGGCCTGTCCATCGGACCGGGCTACAAGTGCGGGCTGCAGTGGGCCCCGAGCCCCCATCAGGCATGCCTTCTCCGCGCGCCGCTTCTCGGCAGTCGTCAATCGTCCATCTGCATCTTGATCGAAACACTTGCCAATGAAATAGTCCAGCTGGCCGACAACTCCGTCACCTGAGTTACAGGACTGCAAGCTCTCCGTCCCGTCGCCACAATGTTCTTGCCTGTGTGTTGGACGTGTCGAGCCTTATGCTTGGGTGTGGGTGTGGGTGGTGGCGAGTATGCCATCCAAGAGTCTGGCATACTTGCGTATCAAACAACGATCTTTCATAGCCGAGCTTCTGAGTAATCGCATCTCCCAAAATGTGCGTCGTGGTGTGGGTGTGTGGGTGTGGGTGTGTGTCTGTGTGTGTGTGTGTCTCTGTGTGTGTCTCTGTGCGTGTGTGTGTCTCTGTGCGTGTCTCTGTGTGTGTGTCCCTGTGTGTGTGTGTGTCTCTGTGTGTGTGTGTGTGTGTGTGTCTCTGTGTGTGTCTCTGTGTGTGTGTGTCTCTGTGCGTGTGTGTGTCTGTGTGTCTGTTGTCTGTGTGTCTGTGTGTGTGTGTGTGTGTCTCTGTCTGTGTGTGTGTGTCTCTGTCTGTGTGTGTGTGTGTCTGTGTGTGTGTGTGTGTGTCTGTGTGTGTGTGTGTCTGTGTGTGTGTTTGCGTGTTGTGTGTTCGTGTGTGTGGGTGGGTGCGGGTGCGGGTGTGTGTGTCTCTGTGTGTGGGTGTGTTTGTGTTTGTTTACATGAAGTTAGACGCATGTATGTCTATGTGCAATTCGTCTCAAGCGCTGTCTGAGCTCGGAGGCGAAACCCGCCTCATGGAGGGAGAATAGACACCGTCAAAACTCCTGCGACGAGAGGACCCCAATTTTAGTCTTTAGCTTCATTCTACCACCTAGCTCGCTGCAGCACCACGAGAACGCCAACCAGCTCCGCCATGAGCCACTCGTCCTCGTCGCGGGGTCAGGTGGGACTGAGGTGTGCTAACAGAAGCTGCGAGTTCGCCGTGACCGATGCAACCTACGGTGGTTACTGCTGCAAGCGGTGTCATGCCAACGATGTGCGCTTTCAGCTCAGGTGCATGCACACAGAAGCGCACGGGCACAAGTGCCAACAAGTGGCCAGTCAGGCCCGGCGGGCAGAGGCGATCCCACCAGACGAGCCTGCAGCAGAGAGCTCGAGTAAGGCAGCGCTCAAGCTTCACAACCAAGGGCGATTGCAGGACTTGCGCTGCGCATCCTGCAAAGCGGGTGATGCGAGCGCGGGGCCTGCAGAACTTCCGGAACAATCGCCGGAGCTGCCGGAGGAAGTTCCTGCAAGGAGACCTCCCCAACCAGCTGCACCAGCTGCGCTGCCTCGGGGCAGCATTGGCTGGAGCATCAAGCGCAAGAGGGACGCGGAAACGCCGCCGTCAAAGAGATCTACGGCCGCGTCCGCAGGTCCAGCCGAGCCTAGGACTGGAACGGAAGAGACAAAAGCACAGCCAAAAAAATTACCAACGCCAAGGCCGCCAAGGAAGACCAAGCCTGCCGTTCCGCCTGGATTGGGCCTTGAGAGTGAACGCCGAAAGGTGGAGACCCAGATGGAGCTTTTCTCAGCAGTGCGCCGAATCAAGAGGACCTGCAGGCGCGTCCTAGCTCAGTCGGAGTTACCCGTGGAAGTCGCTTCTGGCTCAGAGGACAACGAGCCGCCTCCGGAAGGGTACCAGCCTTCTGAACGAGATCACCTAATCTGGAAGCTGTGTGGACTGCGCCCGGTCGCGGGCTACGAAAGGGAGTTCGCAGCTTTGGTGGATGAGGCCGAAGCCCGCGCATTGGAGAGTGTGCAGAAAGGGGAGAGAAGGGTGCCCGAGCTGCGGATTCTGGAACGGCTCATTCCAGGTAACCTTCCCGACGCCGACGACGTTGAGTACTGACTGAGTAGCACCGTGACCATTGCCCGATTTTGCGAAGCCACGTGCCGTGCATTGATGCTCGAGTGGAGCAATGGCGGCAAATGCCTCTCCGATGAGCCACCAGTTGCATGGAGTGTACATTCGCAGTCCGGTTGGTCCTTTGTAGTCGCGTTGCTGCCTGACACTTGAGCAATGATCGCAAGCGAGGCAGCGCCTAAAACTCTCGCGGCCGGGCTGACGAAGGGAAAGCTTGATCATATAGGTGCTACTTTCGGGCTTGGCTGGTTGTTTGTAGAGAAGGTGATATAAAGCAGCTCTGCTTGCGCTTTATTAGGTGGAATTGCAGAAGAGCCATCTTCTGCAAGTCGGCAGGCAGGAAGTCATTTAAAAAGGGATCCAGGAAAGCACCCCAAATTTCGAATCTTCTCATGTTCCTTTGCAATCCAGGAACAGTCGCTTGAGTCTTTAGCGTGGCGTGTGTGTGCTCCTCTGCTGTTCTGGCTCAGGCCCGGTTTCTAAGGGTTCAGGTCATAGCTTCGAAGTTGATTGTCGTACATCCAATCCAAGCGACTCGGGCTTGGACAGGGGTGTGGGTGAAGGCAGCCGCAAGCTCTTAAATCAGTTAATCAGACCCCAAACCCCAAACCTAGAAGCTTTCCTGAGGCCAACATGTTAAATCTGAAAAGACTATGCAATAGCTTGTGCCGGAAGTACGTATCGCAATATCGCCGAGGTGATACCTGGAGCGCCGGGAGAATGGCGTTTATCAGGCCGTCCATGTGGTCTCTCGGCTTTGACTTTAGGCTCAGTTTTGTTTGGGGTTTGAGATTGCGGTTTAATGGGCTGAGGATAACTTCTATCTTTCCGGCTGCAAGAATGAGGGTAGAAGACCTACGGGCTGTGGAAGCTGCTCCAAAACAGAGTTTGCTTCTAGATTCGCCTTGGTCCAAACACTTCGAAACAGCCTTGACCCTAGGGCCTACGACGAAGGCCGGGCGTTGAACATACAACATATGCAGGTGTACACACACACACACATTGAGCAACATGAATGTGTGCACGTGTATGTGTATGTGTGCCCCCCACATATACGTATACATACATACATACATACATACATACATGCATACCTACGTACGTACGTACGTACACACATACATACATATATATATATATATATATATAATATTCATACATTATTGCTGTAATGTACGTTATTTTACATATACAAACATATGTACATACATATATATATATATATATATATGTATCTATACACATATATATATATATNNATACATATATATGTAGGTATGTATGTACGTATGTGTGTATGTGTGCGTGCATACATACAATAGGTGAAGACGCTTAAGCCGCTGAGCTCAGGTTAGCTTTGCTGCAGACGTTCTGGGTCGACGCGTCGGTGATCCGCACGGAGACCGCAGGGGCGAATCCCATTAGGTCTGAGGGTTCAGGATAGGTTTTTGTTCAGCTTTATTAGGGTTCTGCCAGGCTCCCTGAGGGCTTTGGTAGAGTTCTTTGACAGGGCGTATGGCACAAGATTTTGTCGAAAGCTGCGGGAGTGGGAGTTCGCAAAGGGCTTGGACCGCGGCTTGGATGTTTGGGACAGTGGCCATGGCAACGTTGCGCGGCTTCCGCTTGAGATTTTGAGGAAGTCGCAGAAGTGCTGACAGCCCCCACGCGAGGAAACATACGTGCCAGTCAGGCCTACCTCAGCATGTAGCTTAAAGATCGGGGCACACCCATCTCAAATCTGCCGGAGGAGATGCAACACAGCCAGCGCCAGGAGGTCGTTGTGGACGCCCAGGCAGCGCCCTGAACCAGCTCTGAGTCTCTGAACTGTTCGCTTACGAGACCTGCATCCGGCAGTTTTAGCACAGAAAGTCAGATGTCTGCGTAGGGCATAGAGACCAGAGACCGACACGAGTCGTTTAACACAGTTCTTAAACTCTGCGAAACTGGTGGAATGGCTTCCTGTCAGCCACAAAACCCGAAACCTGATATTACCCCTTGTCCTCGTCATGCAACATTGCCTGAGTGGAAGCGAAACTCACGGCATCGGCCCTTGCTGAGGCAGCCACGGACGTGGACAAGCCGCGGCATGTTCGGGCAAAGCAGGCAGACACCGTCTCCCATGGGAAAGCCGGCCATGTCAAGACTCAGAAGCACGCGAAGCACAGCAAGAGGAACAAGAAGGTTGAAGAGCCTGCATCCTTAATGCGTGCAGAGCCCTCCGCCGGCTCCGAGACAAAGCCTCCGAACGACGAGGAGTCCACGGACGATGGGGATGAGGACGAGGGGGAAGGGAACGAAGAGTCGTCCCAGGAGTCGACACAGGAAGGATCGGAAGACAAGACGCCATCCACCGAGAAGGACGACTCTACCGGCGAAGACACCACTGAGGATACGGACTCAGACACGCAGGACACTTCCGCTGACACTGACACTGACTCATCAGCCGCAGCCTCAACAGAGGACATGAAGGGTGAAGAGGCTGAAGAGGATCCTGGCGATGGCACTGGCGTGGCAACCGAAACGGTACAGATTTCTGACAGCGGCAACCGAATTTCTGGCACCTCCAATGCAAGCGCAGCCGTGCTGATGTCAGACTCGGAATCCTTCTCTTCGCTCAAAGCCATTTCCCAGGCAAGGTCTATGGGGTTGCAGCCGTTGCTTTTTCCCGCCCTGCATTCTGAGGGCATGTTTGGGAGCTGTTTGGGATGGTTGGAGCAGGGCTCAGCTGGCAGCGAAATGGGAAGGTGAGCGCTTCTCTTGAGGGCCTGCCCTGTGCTTTGAACTTGGCTCCAGGGTTGGAGCTATGTCCAAGAAGAGAGAAGTTTGCACCATTCAGGGCCGACTGTAAGGGGTTGGTTCTCATTGCTATTGATGGTGCTACCATGGTAAATGGCAATCCTTTGGGCTGTTGCCATCATGAGTTCGTGCTCTTGCGATTTGTCCGGATAACCACTGCCACTGGGCTGCTGCTTCTACTGCTGTAACTTGTGCTGCTGCTACGTGTGCTACTGCTACCGCTGCAGCTGCGGCCGCGGGTCTGTGGGCATGATGCTGGGTATTCGCGAGAAATCGAGCAGGCGATGCTTACTGTAAGAGCGACTAGGAAAGGCACAAGCAAAGCAGCGGCGAGCGCGAGAGTCTTCGTTGGGCGATGTGGGAGTTTCCGAAAATTAGGGGTACCTTACTTGGGTGTCCTTATATTAAGGATCCTATTATTTAGGGTACTATATTACGGTCCCCTATTTTCGGAAACCCCCATCATGTTGAGCCTCTTTTCACAAGAAAGGCTGTCTCGGACGTTTGCTCCGAGGCCTTCGTGGCTGATTTCCAGAGCTAGCTACCTTTGTTCTACGATAATGTAGGGGCCTAAAGAATTACCTCTACTATTTTTTTGGGGGGGGGTCCTTATTATAGTTATAGTATAATGGGCCCCAAGACCCTATTCTATAATTATCAAGGCCCCGATATTATTGTTTCCTGCAGCTTGTCAGAACCGCCAAGCAGTAAGCTTTCTGCGAAACCAAGCGCTGTGGATGCGAAACTCGAACCCCACGAAGGACTGTTGTGGGGAATGCCGAAACCTGAAGGGAGGTGGGCTTGTGTGTTTAAAACCTGCAAGGAGCAAAGGGCGCAAACACCGAACACCTAACGCAGAGGCCTAATTGATTACAATTTATTTTGGGGGGTTCCAAATTAAATTATAGTATTATAATATACTCCAAAACCCTATTCTAACTATTAAGGACCCTGCATTAACACGAGCCATATGCCCGCAACAGGAGGTGAGTTAGAGTGGCACAGCCGGAAACCTCAAAAGGAAGGATCCTTCCCTGCCATGTGCGAGTTGCGAGAGTCGAAAAGGAAGGACTTGCGGGAGACCTCATGGAGAGGCTCGGAGGTCCACTTTACATGGCCAGCGTGGCGGAGTAATTCAGAGAGATTCACGAATTTTGTGGTCCAGTGTGTCATGAGCCTGTTGGGCATAGCCCTTAGAGTATGCCCATGTTGTCAGAATTTCAACTCGCAGTGGCAGGCAAACTCTTCGAATGACCATTCCTCCGCTGCGACAGGTGCGAGGCTTGACAGAAGATATTTGTGCATCGGGCAGCGTCCGTGCACATCGTTTGCTCCAGACATGCATGTTCCAGTGCGGATGCCGTGCTACCGCCGCGCACAAGCTGCGCGCTGCGAAAAGCTGTTTCATGCATGGAAAATGGAAAATGTGTCAGAGTTTGAGACAGTGCATTGATTGCTGTCATTGCCCGATTGGGGGACAGGTGTCGCATGACCAGAGACTGACAATGTCCGTTTAGCTGTTATGCTGGTGAACTTCGTTACACAATAAGGGATACGGACCTCAGAACAGGCTGGCAATCTAAAGCCAGCCACATCCGAGGATCGCCAGCAATCTCGAACAAGGACTGCGGGATAAAAAAGGCCGTCAGGGTCGCAAATGAAATCGCACGAGTGAAGGCAGTGCAGGGAGATCACGGCAACGACATGCATTGCCACTGCCGGTACCACGAGGACCACTAACCACCACCGCCACCGCCACCACCACCACCACCACCACCACCACCACGACCACCACCAGCACCAGCACCGCCAATACCACTACCACCACAACCACAATTACTACGACGATGGCGGCGGCTACTGCTGCTGCTGCTACTGCTGCGACGACGACGACTACTACTACTACCACCACTACCACTACCACTAGAACTACCACTACCACTACCACTACCGCCACCACCACCACCACCACGACTACTACTACTACTACTACTACTACTACTACTACTACTACTGCTCCGGCTATGGCTACGGGTACTGCGACTACAAATGCTGCCATACCTTTGGGTGGTTGTCAAAATTTTGGTTCCTTTTTGGGTCCTTATTATAATACGGCACCTATTATTTAGGGTACCCCAAAAGGGACCATAATTTTGACATCTACCCATATAATTGCACGAACTCCGCCCCGACTTCCGGAGGATCTTCCGAGTCGGCAGAGGTGCAGAGCTCGTCGGATGCTGACGCCGAAAGCCTCGAAGGCTTGGAAGAAGGCACCGGGAGCCTTTGCTTCTTTTTGCTTGCTAGGTTTCTGAAGGTGCGAAGGATTTGCGGAGCTAGCGTTTACGGGGTTTGAATTTCGGTGATTCTGGCTTCGGTTTGGGGGATTTGCGGCTCTGAGGTTTCACGATTTAGTATGTCAGCCGGCATACTCTGTTTTTGAGTTCAGCATCGTATTTCTTCCATGATTCCAAGTCGGGATTCACGCTCGCGCTGAGGAAAACTGACGATGATGGTGCTGGTGCTCATCATGCTGATGACTGCTCTCATAGTGAATAACAGAAGTAGGAGTTAGAGATTAGAGCAGTGCTGGTGGTTCCAGTGCTGCTGCTGATGATGTCAACAACGTTGCATGTGTTGGGCAACATGATGATTACCATGATGCGGTGGTGATGTTGATGTTGATGACGACGATGTTGAAAGTGGTCATCAAGGCTGATGGCGGTTCTGAAGTAGGAGGTGGTGGGCGTTGAGGACAGTTCGGTGAGCCAGATGACGATGGCTGTTCATGTATCTGGTGGTTGAATGGCTTTTAGGGCTTTCCAGCAGGAACCCACTCCGACAAACGTACTTGCAGTCATGGCATCAGTAGGTTGTCACCCGGACTTTTCGCTGAACCCCGAAGAACCCTTTGCCTCGGTGTGTGGTCGCCTGCCTGGAGCTACCTGTCACTTAGCTGTCGGTAAGAGTCGAAAGCATCACCCAGTCTGGTGTGAGTGAATAAGCAGCTTGAGGCCCAGAAACCCTAAATGCCCTAAATTTTCAATCGCAGAGCTAAAGCTGTGGAGCCAGGCCTGGAAGAAGGGGAGTCTGACGAGCTGGTGAGGGGGGCGGCACAGGCAGACAGAGCTTCCTGCAATCTGGGGCTGTGAGGTTTGCTCAGATCTTCTTACTTGGTGGTGTGTCTTGTCTTCTGTCGGAGGACCTTGGCCCCATGGCCTCAGTTCTGCGATTTGTTCCACTCGACTGGCAGACAGCAGCTCGTGAAAGCCAGTATCGGTTTCTCGCCGACATTCGTCGGCGCAGAAAAAACCCTAGACCAAACCGTCGCGATGATGTGGCATGTCTACGATGCCGTGACTTGCTCCAGGCGTGCGTTGGCACCATGATCGAGAAGTGCCCATCTGCAACTTAGCAAAGCCAAGCATGTTGCAGGGCAATGGGGCATCCTTCATTCTGCCTTGGTTTGCTAGGAAGCCGCCCTGCATGCAAGCTTCGCCCGTGCCCAGGACAAGTCCGATCCATGCAAGTCTTCAGACGCCGGAACATGCGTGACGTGGCACAAATAGACAGAGAAGATGCACCGGGGTTGGGCGGCGAGCTCCGGGAAGTGCTGCGGTACACAATGCTGCGATTTTGCTAAACACCGTTTTCGTTATGTATCTCGCCCAACTTCAGCTGCTACTGCAAGTCAGCATGCAGAAGACGCGTGTGGATTCCCGCACGCGTTCGTGCATGGTAACCTTGCTTACCATCATGGTGCGGGGCCTCGTTGGAGGTCCAGGGTTGCTCTTCGCTATTCTAGGGCCCGCCAGGTGAATGTGTTTCACAAGTGCGCCGACGACAAGCTCACACAGTGCGTGACTTGAGCCCGCAAGGAAGACTTTAGATCGGATGCGTTTGTTGAGACTTCCTGGTTTGTAGGGTTTAGGGTTTGTAGTCGATGAAGTGCCTGGGTTCGAAAGGGTGCGATTTCCCAGAGTGTCAAGGCAGGCTAGATCTCTGAAGCCCTTCATTCCTTCATGCATGAGCGCGGTCCCTGGCCTGACAGTGAAGCCTTGCAGAAGGGGTCTCTGAAGCACAAACAGGAGGCCTATAGGCCTGAAATTCTGAAAGACCGAAAGGTTTCACCAATCTGGAAACCCCACTCGCACCGCAAAAGCCCCGAGACCTAGATCTGCGAAGCCCTGAAGGCCCAAAGCTGTTGAGCTTGTCATGTAATAGAAAAATATGACATGACTAGAAGATGTTTGAAGTGATTAACATATTAGAATACAGCAAGTATAGTATAATAGAATGCAAGCAGAAAGCCAAAGCCTCAACTCAGGCCATCCGCAAGGGCAAGTGCTCTACAGGCGGCTCCACCTGCAGCTGGGCTTGAAGGTTCTGAGCTAAAGCCACTACGGCTTTTGCTGGGGGCCTTGTGAAGGGCCTGCCAGTTGAAGTTAGGGTTTAGGGTTTAGGATTTAGGAGTGGTGGCTTATAGGGGCATTCAGAGTTTTGGTTTCAGTTTTTTTCAGCGGTTCCGGGGGGGCAGCTCAGAGTTTGGAGGGAATTTAGGCTGTAGCTTGTGGATACAGTTTCAAGGCTCGGGGCTGGAGAAGTCTTAGGTTCGCGTCGCGTATCATTTTTGCCATTCCTTCCGGATCGCTGCATGGTGTCCGGAAACTCTGGTCGACGCTTTTAAACTGCAGCTGCTGCGACAGGAGGAGCAAAGTGCAGTGAGGAGAGCATATTCCCTCTTGCAAGTATCGAAATGGGGGTTTCTGAAAATAGGGGACCCCAATGTAGTACCCTAAATAATAGGATCCTTAATATAAGGACCCCAAAATAAGGTCCCCTTATTTTCCGAAAACCCCATTTCATCGGCTTCCAAGTGCCATTCCCCCGATTAGGAATACGGAAATTCCAAGCCCCCCGACCCTCCAAGAGTGCTGTAGAAATTCGTGTCCGAAGCTTGATGCCCTTAGGGTTTAGGGTTTAGGGTTTAGGGTTTAGGGCCTACACCACTCAGGCTATCTGCCATGCACTGGAGTTGAACTCCATGGCTCTTCCTGCGCAGCGCAGCCGGTGGAATCTTGGCCTGCTGAGGGTGTGAGCTGCGAGCCGTGTGCATTGGGGACACAGGGTAAGGTTAGCACCCTGAGTTAGGGCTCTGGGACCCGAGATCTATCTAGTAGAGACGGCGACAGTGGCAGAAGACAGAAGCAGGTCTGTTCATTCCCGAAGCCCGCGAATCACTGAACCCGGCATGCCTAAGTGATGCGCTGCCGACGGAGTTCAGCCAGGACAACTGCAACGGCGGCTACGTGAGCGACGGCACATCAGGCAATCCTGCTGCATTGAGGGTTGGTCAGTGAAATGCTTCCCTTTCTCAGATTTCTCATGTCTTCATATGAGGCAAGCGGTCCTTGTGGGCACCAGCTTTCCCATACACAAGTTTGCCGTTAGTTTCATAGACGGTTATGCTGCATCCTAGGCTAAAAGAGCAATGACGATCATATTAACGTTTATCCTCATACGAGTTCTCGTAGTGACGGCGGCGGCAAATCAACATTCCGTTCTGGGGCTTGCCGGACTCTCGGAGAACAGGTCGTGAAGTCCTCAACCAATGTGGAAGTGCAGCATCCTAATATCCTGCCACAGGCCGTAGCCCCTCCAGCCAATTCCATCGAACCACCCTCTGCCCTAAGCCCCGAATCTTAAGCCACGTAAACCTCAAATGTTCGTTGAAAAGGCCTTTTTCAACGGATCTGGAACACTAAAGATCGGCCTTCTGCCTCGGAGCCTTTTCGAGGTATGTCCTGCATGATTTCCACAACGGACGGGGCCTCAGAAGGGAGAGGGCGGGGAGGGGCATCAGGGTATGGGACCTTGGGGGCTTCGGGTTTCGGAGCTCTTGGCGAACCTCACAATGAGGGGTTTGGCATGATTCCGAGACCTTGTTCAGGCCTTGTGAAGGGGCTGTGAGAGACAGCACTGACTTGCTTTCATGCGCGCAACGCTGCATAACTGGTGTCCATTATACTATAAGTATAATAAAGGGCCCCAAAATAGTATTAAGGGCCCCAAAATAGTATTGGGAATTATTTAGGTCCATGATCGGGCCCTAGCCGCGAAGCGCCAGCCGCGTGGAAACAACCAGGCCAGGCTGCGGCTTTCCACAAAAAGACGAGCCCAACTCCCGAAGTGGGAGTTTCCGAAAATTAGGGGTACCTTATTTTTGGGTCCTTGTAGCAAGGATCCTGTGATTTAGGGTACTATGTTAGGGTCCCCTATTCTCGGAAACCCCCAGATGCATTGAAGCTAAGGGCCTCACCCCATGAACCCGTGAGTTTCCCCTTAACTCTTCTCACCCAGCGTAAGTTCGGAAGCTGAGGACATCACGAAGTGCACGCATCTTGGGCTCGCAAGACCCAAGAAACCCTGCATGCCCTTTCCGGAAGAGCTTTGGATTTCTGGGTTAAGGGGCTTCGCATCTGGAGTCACTGCAAAGGGATGGGACTACCAAATACTTCCGCCATTCCAGAATGCATGGGCTCAAGACCGAAGACCTGCGGTGCTCTGGCTAAGCCACTCTTCAGTGCTTTTTCGGACCTCCACGCCCGGGCCTGACTGAATCCAAAGCCCCACGAGAACGACATGAAAGAGAATTGACCTCGATAGTTGAAAGTCTCAGCCATCAACCTAAACCCTTCTTGAGTTCTAGCCCCTCTTTCTGCCCTTGAAATCAGCACCCTTTCCTTTTTGAACGCTGACCCTTGAAGCCGCGGAGTTTGGGGAGTGCCCAGGAATGCCGGAACCTGTGCGCTGCCTGAGAAGGACTGAGGTGACGGAGGTGTTGAGTTTCGGTTCGGGGCTCTACCTGTAGGGCTCGGGGGTTAATGGGGTGTGTAGCGTTTCAAGAAACCGGGATTGAAAAAAGTTAAGAGGAAAGGGCTGGGGGTTTGCGATTAGGGTCTAGTAGCAAGAGCGGCATCCCGATTCGTGGCGACAGAGAGTATCAGAGAAAACAGCTGCATTTTGATTGTCGTGGTCGCACTGGCAGTGGGGCGGTCACTTTGCCCTGTGGGTGAGACGCGCTCTCCTCAAGATCGTTTCTGCGCACTGGTCATCAGCACTTTCATCCTCCTTGCTTGGTTTCTGGCTCAAGCTGTGGCTTACGCCGTTTGTTGCGACTTGTAAGGCCACGTGGACTCTACTTGACCCTACTCGAAAAACTCTATGGTGCAGGGCCAAGGAGCATTTGGCAAGTGCATGTCCACGCATGTATTGACAAACCAGCCCGAATAATAGCCCAGTAGTGAAGGAATCTTTGCATGCACAGCCTTCCAGAAATGCCCCATAAGCCGTCAATCCTAATCCAGACAACAGGCCAGGAGAGGCAAGGACGATTTTTGAAGATTAAGAACACCTTCTCTTGCTGGTCCTTGTACTGGGGATCCCCTTATTTAGGGTTTGAATTAGGGCCCCTCAATTCCTGAGCCTCATATATCTCAGCGCCACGTGCATGAGAACTACATGGGCCCTGTGCTGGCGCGGCTTCGCGGTGGGAAGACAGACATGGCGGACGAACATACAGGCTCTCAGGGCTTCGGGTTGAAGAACTGTCTATAGGGCTGACTTAGGGTTTGTGAAACGGGCTTTGGCACAAAATGTTGCCAACTTGCTTCCATGTGCTCAGACCTTTGCTGTCAAGAAGATTTTCCCAGGGTGGCCAAGGCGAGAGAGAAATGCATCAGCCATGGTCGACAGTCGTTCGTTGTTATCTTTATTGGCTCAACCGTAAGTCCGAGGTCCGTGGCTTTCGTTGGTCAGCCTGGATCTATGGACTTGTTTGACCATGCTTCTCATCTCAGGCTACTGGATGTGTGAATGCCGTGTCTCCCACAACTTCTTCGTGCGGACTTTGGGCAAGCGTCATAGCCGCATTTTGGTCGGGTTGCCTCGTGCCCGTCACAGATCGCAGGCGGTCGCTCGTTGCAAGAGTTTCGGTATTTGCTCTAACCCTAGCCCTAGACCCTAAAAGACAGGCATTTCAGATACAATGGCGACGATGTGGCATTCCTGGAAGAGTTCGGCGATGAGCTTCGGGAATTGGGTGCTGAGGCGGCTGCCGAAGACTGTTTTCCACTGTTGTGGTTGCACTTCTGATATCACAAAGCTTCACGATGTTCGGCCCGACGGGCGCTGTTGGTTTGAAGTGCCTAGTTCTCGTCAGATCGGGGCGGGGCGTAGGGTCTGCCAGGCGGTGTGGTTCGGCCCGAAGGGGTTGCTGAGTGACTCACATTCCAGCGACGACCGGTAGAGTTCCGCTGATGGCAGGTACAGACGACCTTGGAAGAACTCAGACGTCAGAGAGAGGAGGGGGCCACGATCTACTACGATGTTATAAGCGGCTTTTTCTACAAGAGTGTCGAAAATTCTTCTTCAAGGCTTTTCATATAAATGTTATGCGGGGCTTGTTGGACTTGAACCTATACTGTAGTAGTAGTATTGCCTCCAGGCTCAGGGCTTGAGGGCGCAGGCTTGAACATCCAGAGGCTGGTCCCAAACACGTCAGGATGAATCTTGAGGGTTTTTTTTTGGGGGGAGGGGGGTTGATACTTCAGGGTTTAGGGTTTGCAGGGGTTTGTAGAGGGTCACGGCTTGGAGTTAACAGAGTCTGAATGTCTAGGGTTGGTTCAACCGGAGATCCAGATCCTTTACCGCTTCCATGGGCCCTGGAAGCCTTGCATCGGGCCCGCCCCTCGCAGCCCCTACAGAAAGAGGGACCTTATTCTGTCTGGTGCTTAGTAGGGAATGGGGGAATGGGTTATAGGGACGACCTTAAGGGACTATCATAGGGATCCATTCCCCCATTCCCTACTAAGCACCAGACAGTATTGGAATAGGGTTTTGCAGTATACCAGGATATGACTCAGGGTATGACTGAAAAAGGACTGGGCTCTGAAAGCTTCCTCCCAACCCCTCCAGCCCAAGACGAGCCACTGCGCAATATTCCCACTGCGCCTGAGGGTCCATTTCCTCCTGCCGCCCTCACCCTACCAAATCCTAGACCCTATAAGCCCTCTAGAAATCCTAAGCCCCAAATGCCGGACCCTACCCACACCCCAAAGAGCATGCCCATACCACACCCCACCAAAACCCCTCAGCGCCGACTTCAACACCATTCCTTAGGCTTCCCTGTTATATTTTACTATAACCGTCTGTAAGATATTATCAGTGTTTCATAATATACTATACAAGCTATCATGTACTATAATATGGTTACTATACTATAAACCTACTATAATATGGTTACTAGACTATAAACCTACTATAATACGGATACTATACTATGAACCTACTATAAGTTACTATAAACCTACTATAACTTGCTTTGGCCTACTCGGACTGTAGCCCAAAGCGCCTTCGACGACACCGCGTAGGAGCGCCTCCGTGCGCCCGAGAAGTCCCTGGAGCGAGCTCAGCGCATCGCCCAGGTGGAGGGCACCGCTTTGGTTTAGGGTTCAGGGGTTTAGGGGTTCAGTTCAGGTATATAAATATATATATATATATATATATATATATACATACATATATATATATATATGACCTCGTTCAAGAGGGTTATTTATATGAATTTGGGTCACGGTTAGCTTAACCCCAAGCCCTAAAACCTTAAAGCCCTAAAGCGGGACGTCTCTTTGCCATGCCTGCTTTGAGCGAGTGTGTGAGTCGAAAGCCTAAACCCTTAGGCAAGAACCCTAACCTTGCTCTTTCAGTTCACCGGCTTGGAGTTGAGGGCTTTCGGGCGCGATGGTGGGACGCCCCAGAGCCCCCAAAAGCGAGGAGTATCACCCGCTGCACCCTGGAGTGTACCGGCTGAAGCCCGAGAGTTTCTTGGAGGATCCATCGCCGAATTGGGGGAGGGGGGGGAGTAGAGGGACCAATATACACGTCGGAGACTGTAATGATATTTCCTTATAGTCCTTACATGATTACAGAAATAGAGTATAATAGTACGGAATTTTTTATAATTATTAGGCCCCTATGCATTAGAAAGTTTAAGGAGCACTTGCGAGCCAAGACCCGCAGGAAGCTGTGTGAATCGCAGAGCGGGTGAACGTCTCACCACAGACAGAACCCAAATCCATGTCAAAACATGTGCCCGATTTTTCCGAGCTGGACGGCTGAGGAAGCTTTCCGGGAAATGGTGACCGAGCTGCAGCCACTAAGCATGCACTGGCTGCAGTTGGCCGGGATCCATGATCTCCAGTACAGGCGGAGTTCGAAGAATTGAAATCCACTTGGGAACCCTAGGAGCAGGGGAGACCTGCCTAAAACCGAACAGACCTCAGCCCTAAATGCTTGGCCTGGATTTAGGCTTGTATCTTTTGGACAAACTGCGATGCAATCCCGTCGTTTCTCAACCTCTTAATGGGTGTCTATGTCCATCCCAATCGCCAACTGTTGGTGCGGCATGCATGCACGCATGCATGCTTTAGTTCAACCCATTCGTTTCCGCAAATAATTACATGCAGTGCGAGCTTTTCTGTGAGCTGGACACAGGCAACCTGGACAGAAGGTATTGCCTCTGCTTGTCTATAGTTGGATAAGCTGTGCCCGCCAGTGGACGGCTCTATTTGGCTCCAGCTTAATTGGCAATGAATTACAAGCGATGTTGAATGATCCTTTGCAAGAATCCGGGCTGTGCTTATGATTCACTCATACCGCGGCTACAGGCTATAAGTCGCCTATCTGCCTGCAAGCCGAGGAAACCGGGTGGCGGAGCTGCCGCCCGTCTGAAGTCCCGCAAGCTCGTGCAAGAGCCTCTCGGCCGTTGCAGTTCGGTTGCCGGCGTGGGGGAATCCTTGTCGTGATTGTAGTGCTAGTATAATGTAGGGCCTTCGTAACTAGAATAGGGTTTGGGGTATACTATACTGTAATTATAACAAGGATCCCCCAAAACCTGATTCGGATTGCAGGAGTTGTTGCTTAGCGGAGCCATGGCAAGTTTAACGGGCGTCAAACACATTATCATACCTCGACTAATTAAAGAAATCAAGAAACAAAACTTGTATACGTACATATATATACACATATAGACCGCCGCTTATTTGTACATAAATACGCATACATATATACATACATACATACATACATACATACATACATACATAGCCACAAACAGAGCCTACACTGTTACACCAGCGGACCTTCTGCACCCAAGAAGCGGGCTGAAGCCCCGAAACCCTGAATCTGCGCTACGCTGCCCTCAGCCTGAACTCTGATGCAGGATCGACATGCCGCATACAGGGGCCTTAATGCTCACCTATAATATTTTGGGGGTTCCTGACTATAAGTATAGTATATTGCGCCCTGAAACCCTATTCCTAATTATCAAGGCCCCTATCTTAGAGTCTTTCGTAGAGGCCACGAGGAGCTTGAGCCCGACAGCCCTAAAGCCCTGAACCGTCAGACTTTGTCTGGATATGTCCGAGTGTGAAGAGTCGCAGTATGGGGTCGGAATAACTCGGAATTAGGGTTTAGGGTTTAGGGTTTAGGGTTTAGGGGTTTAGGGTTTAGGGTGTGTGTCTCCTTCTAGCGCTAGTATATATAACTCACCCTACTCTGACAGTAAGCGCCCCTTATATTGAATCATTTCCCAGGCTGCGCCCTGGACTTTTCACTTTCCCGGTCTTCACGGAAGCTTTTTGCGACCAGCTGGAGGCCTCCATAAGGAGGTTACGGGGTTTCAGGGTTTTGGGCTTATGCGTTTCGGATGTAGGGTTTCTCAGGGTCCGGTACTGGGGTGTTCAGGAATGGAGATATTAGAGAGTGATCTATTTCCATGTTCTAATTGCTCAGTTCCTCCATCAGTCTGTGCAAGTGTGAGCGTCGCTCTGCATGCTGCTTGTGAATTGGCAGGTTTGAAGTGTCTTGATAAACCTGCAGCCGAGCTTGGTAGGTTACGGTAGGTTGCCCCGTTCTAGGTTTGGGAAGGCTGACGGATGAAAAGGTGTAGTGTAGTGTTGCAGAACAGATGAATTTCTGTGATGCCGCGAATGTTTTTCCATGTCAAGCTGTGCTTCGCAGCCGCCGTCGATTGTTGCGACACATGAAACTCTGGAATCTTAAATGCCACAGACTTCGCCTGGATCGCCCGAGTTGCGAGAGTCTAAATGCCACAGCCTGAAGCCCAGAAGCATAAATCCTGATGCTGAACCTAGACCTCGATTTTGGTATCGGAGACCGCGAGCCAGAACCTGACAAACCTCCATTGCAGACTCCGGCAGAAACCGAACTCCAGAGCTATGAGCCCAAGCACGCTCACAAAAGGATCTTCCAGTTTGTATATGAGTGCATGCATGTAGGTATACACATCTTATCTACCCCTAAACCCTAAACCCTACCCCTAAACCCTAAACCCTAAACCCTAAACCCTAAACCCTAGCATGTACGCTTCTACACTGGCTTTGCGCAGGCCGAGCTTGGCCATTTTCAGGCCTCGGGGCTGCCGCGCTCGGCTCCAAACACGATGAACCGCTGCCGGGCACCATAGGTTGTCTGGTTCCGGAAGGATGTTCTTCTTGCGGCTAAGTGTTTTGTTTTGTAACCTCAACATGGCTTTCTCGGCAAGCGAACGCTCAAATGAAGTCGCGAAGTCCAATCCTGAACCCCTTGTCCACTGAAGCCTGAGCCACCCAAGTTTGTGAGGCTGTCCAGGCGACCTCTCTAAACGCAAGAGCTTGCGCTATTTAGCGTGCCCTTATCCCGGAACCTGGTTACCTAATAAGAAGTCATAAGCTCCTTGCAGTGTCGAGTCTCTCTGAGTCTAGTGTGACTATTGCTGTCTACAACTTTTAAGTTTCATTACTACTACTACTACTACTACTACTACTACTACTACTACTACTGCTAATGCTACTGCGACTGCTA